TGGGTTGGGCCAAACTATGAATGGAAGGAAATATCATAGTGTGCTTAGTTATCGACTGGATGTCCCGTTATTTTTGGTATCTAGGCCCTGTTCTGCTTGTTCCAGTGTCTTTGATGGTGATGTCTTTGGAGATCATGATGTGTCATGTGCTGGTATTGTGGGCATTAAGCATCGGCGTAACCTCGTTCAAGACACCTTACTGGACGTCTGTTACAGGTCTGGGATTTCTGCCGGAAAGGAGGTTGATATCGGTTTGGTTGATGGGCATGGCGGACCCCTTCGCCCTGCGGATTTGCTGCTTTATTCCTAGGATGGGGGCGAGATGTGTGTATTGATCTGCCTGGGTCTTCACCTTTGACTTAGACTGGGATGACCGATTTTATGCCGAGCCGAGTTGTTGTTGGTGCCGCTCGGCAAAAGTGTGCTAAGTATCGGGACTTGTGCATGGCGCTGGTTACGGCATACTGCCCTTTTCTTTCTCTTCGCTGGGGGAGTTGGATACAGATGTTGTGGTTTTGCTTAATCGCATCCAGAAATTCTCCCTGTCTCAGGATGCGCGTCGGCGGCCGCGTTCATTTTCACTAGACTTAGCTTTGTTGTCGCTAAGGGGGTGGGAGCCCAAATTGTATCCAGGCTGTCCACTAATTTCTTGTAGACCTTTTATTTTGATTCCATTATTTCCTAAAAAAAAATACTAAAAAAAAAAAAGAGAAGAACACTCTTTTTCGTGCAACAAGCAATAAACTGAAGGGTAAATACAATATAATATTCAAATCTTTCGTTTTAAACAAAATAATAGCCAAACCGTTAAAGTGTAAAGTGTAAAGTATCTTTCGTTTTAACTTTCCATCTATTTGACTATCAGTTGACTCTGACATGACAAAGTGTAAAGTGAGGTGGATTCTTTTTTGTGACGTGGCAAAAATCAAATATTTGACCACACCGCTTGGATAATACAAAATTTAATAAAATAATTTTTGTGTTAAAAAAAGTAAAAAATTAAATTTAGAAAAAAATCATTTTATCTTCTCGTTCCCTGTGTCGCCTTCCTCCTTAGGCTGAGTCCAATGTCACCTGCATTTATGGGGTTGTCGCCATTAATGCCGATCTTGGAGTTCCAACGCAGAGAAATAAATGTCGAAAATCGGCAATTATGGAGGTGATCGGCAATTTGATCGCTATATATCGAGGAGGGTTTGCCGATTTCGGCATTTATGGAGGAGGAGATGTCTGCTGCGCGGCACAACCGCTGGGGCTGTGTTTCCAGCCACTCTTTTTTTTTTAATTGTTGTTTAGTTATTTAAAGTATTTAATTAAGGAATTTGATTAAGAGAATTGAATGTAATTAATTAGTGGAAGGGGAATTAAATTGAATTAATTAGGGGAAGGGGAATTAAATTTATGTTTGTATTTAGCCTTTTTAGATTGTATTTAATTTGTGTTTAATATTTGTGTATTTAGGCTTTTTTTCTAAGATGACTTAAATTGAATTCATTTTATTTAAAATTTATGTTTATCATCTTTAAGTTGTGTGTAAACAAAAATTAGATCGAACTAAGAATGGAAATTATATTATTGAAATGAAAATGTGTTCGTAAATTATAAAATAAATTGTCACCAACTACAACTTTAATTGAATTACAAAGCATCACAGCATCGATACCAAGCAACAACAATGACTAATTATTTCCATGCAAGTTCCAAATATGTTCGACCAAGTCCCGACGAAGCCCATGATGTGTTGGTGCAGCAAGAAGCCTATTATTCCTAGCTAAGTACTCAATTAGGGTTGGAATATCTCTATCGACATTAGTTGGTTGTTGGTCGTGGACTTCATAATCAAGATTATCTTCCATCTCATCGTCAGAATCAACCTGGTCATCCTCGGTTATCATGTTGTGCAATATAATGCATGTCAACATTATATCATTATTTGTTGCAACATCCCAAGATCTTACAGGGCCACGAACGATTGCCCATCTAGCTTGAAGAATTCCAAAGGCCCGCTCTACATCTTTCCGATGTGCTTCTTGACATCGAGCAAACAAGGCTTCTTTGTTTGAGCTTGGATTGCTGAATGTTTTCACTAAAGTTGACCACGAAGGATAAACACCATCAGCCAAATAATAACATTGATCATAGGTATGACCGTTTACCTCAAATCGTACTCGTGGGGTGGATCCGTTGAGGACACCGTCAAACACTGGAGACATCCCCAGAACATTGATGTCGTTATTCGACCCAGGCGGGCCGAAGAAAGCATGCCATATCCAGGTGTTGTATGAAGCTACTACCTCGAGAATGATTTTTGGTTTATGGTTGTGCCCCAGGTACTACCCAGTCCAAGAAGTAGGACAGTTCCTCCACTCCTAATGCATGCAATCAATTGATCCAATCATACCAGGGAATCCGCGTTGTGAGGCTTTATGAAGTAGAATCCTTAGATCAGGAGGAGTTGGTGCACGAAGATATGTCGATGAGTACATCCCGACAATGGCTCTGCAAAACTTCCTGACGACTTAAAGCAAAGTGCTCTTACCCATACGCATGTAGTCATCAAGTTGATCAGCTGGAGATCCATAAGCTAGCATGCGCAGTGCACCAGTAAGCTTTTGCTCCGGCGATAGGCCTAGGTGACCAACGACATCACTCCTTTGTGCAAAAGAGGGATCATACCTCACAACGTCACCCATTATGCAATTGAATAGTCGTGGTTGCATACGAAAACGCCTTATGAATATGCGGGCATCGTATGTAGGATTTGTATTGAAGTAATCCTGCATAAGACGGTCATGACCTGAGACCCTTTCACGATCAATGTAGGTGCGATTTGTTGAACGACGACGTGAGCGTGAAGCTTCCTCAAGCCTCCCCCCGATTAAAGTCAAACGATGATAGTTAAACAGATTCAACTCTTTTATCTTTTGTTCTCCTCCAGACGATGAGTAATCTGAGGAACTCATGATGGATGTGTTTGTTTTAGAAATGGGAGGAAGTTTCAGACAAGTATACAATTGATGGTAAATGGGGGATTTGCATTTATTTTCGAACATGTTCTACCTACCAACCTTACCTAACGGTCATATTCAAACATGTTCTACCTACCAACCTTACCTAATGGTCATATCCGAACATGTTCTACCTACCAACCTTACATAACGGTCATATTCGAACATGTGCTACCTACCAACCTTACCTAACGTTTATATCCGAACGGTCATAACCTAACGGTCATAAATTCTCTATATATTCAGACATCCTCTCCTCTCTCTCTACCATTCATTCTTATTGAAATTTTCTGTTAGTCCCCTCGTTCTTTCTATCATCTTTGTCTATCTAAAAACCAAACAATGACAAGCAAGAGAAAAGGGAATTGGACATCGGAGGAAGATAAGAACTTGTGCAGTTCTTGGGTGATGATATCGGAAGATGGAGCTGTGGGTGTCAATCAAAGGGATACAAGGTTCTGGGATATAGTGGCGGCGCAATTTCGATCGAACGATCGAAACACATCTCGTACTATCAAAAGCATGGCTAATCGAATGTGCACAATCACCAAATACTGCAAGTGTTGGAATTCAGCTATCCAAAGGGCAGAGAGGAATCAACCAAGTGGCACGAATCAAATGGATGTGGTATGAATTCTCCGTCACCATCATTGTTATTTTTTACCTCATTCATTAGTACGTGTGTTCTATTTTCTAACTCCTTTTCCATCTCATTCATTTATACGTATAGGAGCATATGGCAGAACAACTCTATTTAAGCGAGACCGGAGAAAAGGGGTGAAATTTTGGTCATTGTTGGTGGATCTTGAAAAGATGCCAAAAATTTCATACGGTGATAATAATGCCATCTTCAAATCAAAGCCGCTTGAGTCAAGGTTCTGATGGTTCTCCCATGGGTCTTGGTTATCAATCAACACCACAGACAGACCTCAATGACACAGAAGGAGACGAAGAAACTCCACCATTCATCGGAGAAACTCCACCGTTCGTCGAAGAAACTCCATCATTCGTCATATCTCGCCCTGCTGGACACGACAAACAGAAGGCAGCTAAGAAGAAAGGAAAGGGGGTTGCCGAGTCATCAGAGAGCTACACTGCTCAATTGCGGGAGTATGGAAGTGAGTTGAAGGAGAGGCATGCTTTGAGGACTGAGTATGAGCGAAGAAAGATGGAATTCCAAGAACAAAAATCAAAGCGTAACCAAGAAAAGTGGGAAGTTGAGAAAAAAGAGAGGGAAGCAGCACTATTTCGGAACAATCTTGATCTTATTGAAAAGGACTTGTCGAAGTTGACACCAAGAAAGAGGAAGTTTTACAAAAATCATCAAAACATGCTCCTAGGGTATGATCAAGATGATCCCAACTCTGTTCCCGACTATTCATCCAACGCAAGTCAAACTGGAGGTGGAGATGGAAATGGAGGAGGAGATGAAGGTGGAGAAGGAGATGAAGGTGGAGGAGATTACGAGAATTACTATTCCCTTCTGGGTGATTATTGACATGTTATGTGTTTCTTTTTTATCATTTCAAGTGTTGTGTGTTATTTTTAAACTTTATCATTTTCAAGTGTTGTGTGTTATTTTTAAACTTTATCATTTTCAAGTGTTGTGTGTAATATTTAAACTTTATGATTAGCAAGTGTTGTGTGTAACCTATGAATTGTGCCATTTGAATTATTATGTCAACTCGCTAAGCTTTATCATTTTCAAGTATTGTGTGTAAACCCAAATTAGGTCCATAATTTTTTGCTAAAAAAAATTCGGTCTCGAAATTTAACAAAATTCTATCAAAAAATTTGTATTTAAAAATGATGACGAACTATACAAAAATTAACATGAACAAATTATGTTAAAGTTTCGATAAGTACATTTTGAAGGCTGAGTTTCGGTTGAATTTGAACGTGTACATTTTAGGTTGGACAAGTTCCTGTGCTTGGTGCAGTGAGTAGTGTAGTTTTGGGAGGTTGTTTGGTGTATGAGGCTGGCGGAGGGAAATGGGGAAGGGGAAGAGGAGGGCGGTGGAGAAAGGAGTTCTAGTGCAGAACTCGAGCTCATCGCCGGAGGCATCTTCTAGTTCATTGAATGTCCCGCCTGCGCCGGTTTATTACTCGAGTCAGGAGGAATTCAAGGATCCGTTAGAGTATATTTATCAGATCAGAACTGAGGCCGAGAGGTATGGGATTCGTAGGATTGTACCTCCACAGGGCTAGTCTCCACCTTTTGCAATAAATTCGGATAGGTTTAGTTTCCCGACAAAAACTCAAGCCATTCATCGACTGCAGGTGCGGCCTGCTTAATGTGATTCCGATACGTTTGAGTTGGAGTACACTAGGTTTCTCGAGGAGCAGTGCGGCAGGAAGTTGAGGAAGAAGAGGGTGGTTTTCGAAGGGGAGGATTTGGATTTGTGTAAATTGTTCAATGCGGTTAAGAGGTTCGGAGGGTAAGATAAGGTTGTGGATGACAAGAAGTGGGGGGGGGGGGGAGGTGTCCAGGTTTGTGAAGTCCAGTGAGAAGGTCTCTGAGTGTGGAAAGCATGTGTTGTGTCAATTGTACCGAGAACATTTGTATGATTATGAGAAGTATTATAATATGTTGAATAAAGACGTGAGAAAGAGTTCTAAGGAGGAGATTGCAAAATGATAGGAAAGTTAGAGATCAGGTTGAGTTTTCTTTCTCAAAAAGGAGGCGAATGCTAACGGTGACAATACTAAAGTTTGTGAAAAGGTAGTGAAGGAGGAGGACCTTGATCAGATATGCGAGCAGTGCAGCAGTGGTTTGCATGGTGAAGTAATGCTTTTGTGTGATAGGTGTAATAAAGTATGGCACATCCATTATTTGTCACCGCCGCTGAAGCAAATCCCTCCAGGAAATTGGTATTGTTTTGAGTGCTTGAATTCTGACAAGGATAGTTTCGGTTTTGTGCTTGGCAAGAAGTTTATGATAGATGCATTCAGGCGTGTAGCTGATCGAACCAATAAGAAGTGGTTCGGTTCAGAGTTTGCTTCATGTGCTCAGATTGAGAACAAATTTTGGGAGATTGTAGAGGGGTTGACAGGTGAAGTTGAAGTTATGTATGGAAGTGACTAGGATACTTCTGTGTATGGAAGTGGTTTTCCTCGATTAAATGATGAAAGGCCAGAATCAGTTGATCCTGAGTTATGGGATGAATACTGTGCCAGCCCGTGGAATCTTAATAATTTGCCAAAGCTGAAAGGCTCCATGCTTCAGGCTGTTCATCAAAACATTACTGGTGTCATGGTGCCCTGGCTGTATGTTGGCATGCTGTTTTCAGCATTTTGTTGGCATTTCGAAGATCACTGCTTTTAATTAATGAATATCTTCACTAGTACGCTCCGATGACTTCATTAATTAAAATGTTGGAGGACTTTGTCAATCGACTAACTTTTGATCAACTACTCATCTTCTAGTGTTTGGTGTATCACTGATATTCAAGGTGTATTAAATCATTTTATTATAATGGTGCAACCATAAATTCTTTATGCATTTGTATTCCATCCAATCTGTAGTATATTTTAGTAAACCACAGATGTCCAGAAGGTAAACATCTATCAGACTAATAATAACAATTTATTTTATGGTTTCTTACCTGAAAGTTGGATTCATTTCTTTATGGTTATAATACTAGCTAGTTATCATCTTAAAAGGCTAATTTGAAAGATTACGAGAATGCCTTTCTCTTCGGTGTGGTTGATGCTCTCTAGTTGATGTGTTCTAACAGTAGTGCTAGAGAAACTACTGCTTCTTTCAGATTCCTTACATAATTATGTGCCCTGAGGTTTCATCTAGTCACTTATATTTGACAATTCTCTGCTTCTAGCTTGAAGTCTGAAAGATTACTCTATGGAGTTTGATATCATCAATATGTTCAACACTTCTAAATAAAGGTGTCTACAGACTGAATCTGTTAACATGTAGCTTCCTTTTCTTTGTCCCTATGTGTACTACTAATATCATAAGCTTGTATTTGCTGTTTGTTCCTTGTAATAAAATTATCTAGTATGCAAACTCAAATTTATGTCACGAGATAAATATACAAATTGCAACTTCTGTTTGGGGTATGGAATCTACATGATAACCTTTATATACATGTCTCAGATTTCACGATTGTGGTTTGTTCCTTTTAAGTCATGTGGTTATGCCCTTTTCTTAGATAAGTGTTTCGTAATATGTCCCTTGTTGTCTATGATGAGATATATTGACCCTTTCTTCCAAGGGAGTGATCTTAAATTTTGTGTCAAGCAATTGGTGAAGTGCTGCCATTGTGTAGGAATCTTTTTTGTAATCATTGGAACCCTGTGTGACACTGCTGTGGAGGTGCAAATTTGCAAAAAGTTGATAGACTACATTTACTACAAATGCAGGGGAGAGCCCAAGTGCTGGTACATCATTCCTGGCAGTGAAGCTGGTTCTTTTGAGAAAGTAGTTACTCTCTAGTTTTATACTCTGCTGCATATTGGTGTTGTATATTTATTTATTTTATAACTTTTGTGTTTCAAATGACGGACATATTCACCTTATCAGCTTCATTATGTTATGTGGCACAACACTCTTGTACACAAATACTAGTTGCATAATGATGTGATAAAAATTATGTCTACTTTATGTAGGTAATGAAGGAAAGTCTTCCCGATCTGTTCGATGCACAGCCTGATTTACTCTTCCAGCTCGTCACTATGCTGAATCCATCCGTCCTGCAAGAGAATGGGGTCCCAGTTTACAGTGTACTTCAGGTTTGACATTTGAAGGCTTTTATTAGTGTTTTTCGGGTATGATATATTGTGCTTATTCGGTGTATTTTTTCATAGACTAAATTTCTCGATGCAACAAAGTCTAGGATGTGAGGCCTTATTAGACCTGGCAAATGAGGACCCGACCCATTGATCCGACCCGAACCCACCCGAAAAATAGAGAATGGGTTGAGGTTTTTATAACCCGAACCCCATTAACCCGTAGTTTTTGGGTTGGGTTGGGTTGGTTTGTGTGTCGACCCGCTAGACTCGTTTCATTGCATATGTCACTCTCAAAATGAAAAATCATTCATACTTTGGTGAGATGTTTAAAAAAATTTATTAGGATTTGAAAGACAAGTTTGGAGTGTTAAGATAATCAAACATCATTTGATTATTGTAGTAGTATTACTTTCGTCATTTTTTTTGACAATTTGTGCAATTTGTATTTCTTTTCATTAGCATGGAAGGAGTTGAGCATTTGTTAATTGACATGTGCTAGGCAAACTATTGTCGCACATACGTAAAAATTTGAGTTCTTTAATAATTTATGAAGCATGTTTGATATTGTTTCTGAGAACGCTCATGACCCGAAACCCGACCCGAAACCTGATGGGTTTGGTCAATATTTGACCCGAAATCAGCAAACCCATCATGACCCGACCCGTGAAGACCCGTAACCCGAAATTACCCAACCCGATCCAATTGCCAGGTCTAGACCTTATACAGGGACCCTTTATACATGTATGTTGTTTACCACCATTTATTATTCTTCTTTTTTTTCTCTAAATTACACATTTTGTCACTCAAATTACACTAATCTTTCACGTTTGCCACTCGAATTACTTTTTTTTCTTATTCGTCACTAACTTTACGAATCGTTTCACCGTTAGTCACCGACCGTTAGTCTCCGTTACACTCTGTTAACTCCGTCAGTTTTTTAATGATGTGGCAAACGAAATTGTTAACTGGACCGTTAACTTAATGACATGTCAATTTAAAATAATAATAAAATAAAATAATGATTATAACCCATCTCAATTGCAATTCCGTGGGTATTAATTAATTAATAAATTACTGAAACAAGAAATGAAAAGAAGATAAAAAAAAGACAAAGAAAAGGTAGGCTACGAGAATGTGAGACATACAAATCATCATTCTGAATCCTCTACTTCAAGAGAAGGGCACATATAGAGAGGGAAGATGTGATTACGTGGACGAAGATTAGGGTGGTGAGAGTGAGGGTTATGGGGTTTGTAAAACGACAGGGATTTAGGCTGAGTCCAATGCTAGTCCCCAAATTTGGGGACCTTCATCTATAGGTGTCAAAACATGACCCGATCCGAGTAATCCGCCCAACCAACCCGATCCGCGACCCGCCCGCAACCCGATTGGACTAAAAGTCAAAGACCCGCAACCCGCCCGACCCACAATCCGCTTGACCCGTAACCCGCGTAACCCGCAACCCGCTTGACCCGCAACCCGCTTGACCCGAACCCGATTGACCCGCAACCCGCTTGACCCGCAACGCGCTTGGCCCGTAACCCGACTAACCCGAACCCGATTAACCCAACCCGAACCCGCCCGATTGGCACGAATAATACTACATAATATATTTTTGTGTATAAATATTATATGTAAATAATATATATAAAGTTTATTATTTTTTCATCTTTCCCACCAAGAACAAAGGTTTACTTTGTGTTGACAAATGACAACTGTCATTAAATTGAATCACATAATAGTCTCACTGTCTCGGTAAATTGAATCACATAATACTTTCTGGTCTCTCTACCTTTTAGTTGAATCAAATAAACAACAAGTTCAAATTATAACAAATCAATTACATGGACTAGTTGACTTATCACTTATGTGCTGGTATTTCCCATCCGAGGGACACGGTTCAAAGCCCAATAGAGACATATTTTTTTTAACATGTTTTTGTATGTCAACTTATACATAAAATTCACTTAATGTTTTTGTATGTCAACTTATACATAAAATTCACTTAATGTATAACATAGTTAGTAAAATATGGTACGAGAAAGTTACGTATAAAATACTTACGGGTATTATACTTCGTCTCTTAGGTAATGCTACGTTTAATAGTACGTTAATAGTAATAAATATTTACAACTAATTACTTTTATAAATAAATCAATATGTAAAAATAGTAAATTTAATAATACATAAAATTCACTTAATGTATAGCATAGTTAGTAAAACATGGTACGAGAAAGTTACGTATAAAATACTTACGGGTATTATACTTCGTCTCTTAGGTAATGTTACGTTTAATAGTACGTTAATAGTTATAAATATATAAAACTAATTACTTTTATAAATAAAACAATATGTAAAAATAGTAAATTTAATCATTCATTTCATTAAATAAGGATATTAAACGTTTGGAGTCGTAGGACATATGTTCTTCTCAATAACCAACAATTTCATAATACATAACTATAGTTCATGGTTTAAGGTTAGTGCATAGGGTATACGGTAGCGGACTCGTGGTTTAGAGTTTGGAGTAATAGGGCATATGTCCTCAATAACCGAATATAAAATTGACTTACATTCTTCACATAACATACGTTGTAGCTTATTCCAACAATTTCATAACATATAACTATAGTATAGGGCATATGTCCTATAAAATTGACTTACATTCTTCACATAACATACGTTGTAGCTTATTCCAACAATTTCATAACATATAACTATAGTATAGGGTATAGCCGTATAGGGTCATGGTTTAGAGTTCATTGTTTGCATGTTTGGGTTATGGAATTATGGTTAAGGATTGAGGTTAGTTTAGGGTTAATTACTTAATGTTGTGATTTAGGATAATGTATGGTTGATGGTTAAGGTTAGTTTTAGGTTTTAGATTTAAAATGGTGTTATAGGGTTAGGGTTTAGGGTTTAGGGTTGCACAATTCTAAACACTGTAATCTATTTAACTATTTTCAGTCTTCATTTCCCGTGACTACTTGATGACATAGTTCTAAACACGGTTAATTACCATGATTAATGTGACAATTCATCTTTTCAAAATTTAGGTTAAAATCTAGATGAACTTAAAAACAATCATAAAACCAATTGATTTGGCCCCTAAGAAAACGTTAATGTCTAGATAAAATTGGGATTTAATCTCTAATGTTCCAGCACGTCAATTGTGATTTATTTATAATTGACCTAGATGTGATTTAATCTCTAATGTCAATTGGGATTTAATCTCCCGCCAGCAAATAATTGGGGACTAATCTCTAATAAAACAATTATATTGACCCCAGCCAAACATTTCTCGTCCCCAGCCAATTTTTTTGTTATCCCGCCGCTTTCCTCATATCCCCGCCAGCGCTTTCATCATCCCGCCCCAGCCCAGCCAAATTTTCGTTCCAAAGAAATTCTCCCCGCCAAACTGCCCGCCAAATAATTCTCCCCGCCAGCTCTCCCCGCCAGCTCTTTCAATAAATTTCGATCCAAAATTCCCTCCCGCCCACTGATTCCCTCCCCGCCTCTCCGATCTAAATTTTCGCTTTTTCGCTCCATAACCCAAAAATTTAGCTCGCCCAAATTCTAAAATGACGCCCAAATATGTTATAGAAAGATAAAAGGTACCACCCACTGAATTCAAGGTAACATTTGCATGTTAATATATGTATGGCGGATATATGACTAGCGGTTTATAATTAGCTATGCGAAAATGCAGTGCTAGATATTAGTATGGAAGTTAATAATTTGTAGATGAAGTTGAGTAAGGAATATTAAAAGCGTGTGTTACCATATAAAATAAGAATGAAAGTTAAATTATACTAGAAAGCACGAATAAGCACGAATGTGAACAAAATAAAAGCAAGAGATGGTTTCATAGGTTTATGATCAAACAAGTTGTCAGCTTTTTAATTTCTTGTTGTTCAACTCTTTATTTATGTTGGTTCTGTAACCTTAATGAATCCTCTACAAGGTACCAACAACTAGCAACATCAAACTTGTTTATGATATATTCAAGCAAAATATAGTCATTCATTTGTTTAATAATGTAAATTCATGTTTTATTCATTGCAATATGGTGATCGGTGAGTTTGTTTTAAATTAGTGTAATAACTCCCTAAAAAAATAGTGTAATAACTAATTATATAAAAACTCGATGGTGTGGACCGAACAACCCGCAACCCGACCTGTTGTAACCCGCAATCCGATCAACCCGAACCCGATTGATCCGCAACCCGATCAACCCGTAACCCGACTGATCCGCAACCCGATCAACCCGAACCCGATCAACCCGCAACCCGATCAACCCACAACCCGATCAACCCGAACCCGCTTGACCCGCAACCCGTTTGACCCGCAACCCGATTAACCCGCGACCTGACTGAACCCGCCCGATTGACACCTATACCTTCATCCCCAAATTTGGGGATCATCCCTATTTTCTTCTCTTTTGTTCCAATGCTACATTCTCCAAATATGGGGATCTTCCTTTTTTCAGTTTTTCATTTACTTAAAAATGTATTTATGGAAGCATTAATATAATTTATTCATATTAATATTTGTATAGTTCGTCATCATTTTCAAATACAATTTTTTCGATAGAATTTTGTTAAATTCCGAGACCAAATTTTTTTTTGAAAAAAATGATTGACCTAATTAGAGTTTACACACAACACTTGAAAATGATAAAGCTGAAAGAGTTCACATAATAGTTCAAATGATACAACTGATTGGTTACACACAACACTTTATAATGATAAAGCTTAAAGATAACACACAACACTTGAAATGATAAAGATGGAACACATAACATGTCAATAATCGCCTAGCAGAGAATAGTAATTCCCATAACCTCCTCCTCCACTCTCATCTCCTCCACTCTCATCTCCTCCTCCGGTCTGATTTGCGTTGGATGAGTAGTTGGGAACAGAGTTGGGATCATCTTGATCATACCCTAGAACAATGTTTTGCTGGGTTTTGTAATACTGCCTCTTTCTTGGTGTCAACTTCGACAAATCCCTTTCAAGAAGATCAACGTTGTTCCGAAATAGTGTCGCTTCCCTCTCTCTTTTTTCAACTTCCCACTTTTGTTCCCTCTCCCTTTTCTCAAGATTCCACCTTTCTTCGTCGCGCTTCGATTTTTTTTCTTGGAATTCCATCCTTTTTCGCTCATACTCAGCCCTCGAAGCATGCCTCTCCTTCAACTCACTTCCATAGTCCAGCAATTGAGCAGTGTAGCTTTCTGATGGCTCAACAACCGCCTTTCCTTTCTTCTTTGCCGCCTTCCGTCTAAATATATAGAAAATTGAGTAACCGTTAGATGTGACCGTTAGGTGAGACTGTTAGGTAGCAGATGGTAGGTAGCACATGTTAGATACGAGTGGTAGGTAGCACATGTTAGATATTACCGACTCGTATCTAACATGTGCTACCTACCATCTGCTACCTAACAGTCTCACCTAACGGTCATATCTAATGGTCACTCAATTTTCTATATATTCAGACATCCTCTCTTCTTTCTCTACAATTCATTATTACTTTTGAAATTTGCTTCCAGTCTCACCATCCTTTTTATCATCTTTATCTCTCTAAAGACCAAACAATGACAAGCAAGAGAGGAGAGGGTTGGAAAGTGGAGGAAGATGTGAACTTGTGCAATTCTTGGGTTATGATATCAGAAGATGGAGCTGTGGGCGCTAATCAAAGACTCTCAAAGCTTTGGGATAGAGTGGCGACGCAATTTCAAGTGAATGATCCAACTACAACTCGTACTATCAAAAGCATGAGTAATCGAATGAGCCTCATCACCAAATTCTGCAAATGTTGGAATTCAGCTATCCAAAGGGCAGAGAGGAATCAACCAAGTGGCACGAATCAACAAGATGTGGTATGAATTCTCTGTCACCATCACTGTTATTTTCTAACTCATTTATTAGTATGTGTGTTCTACTTTCTAACTCCTTTTTCATCTCATTCATTGATACGTATAGGAGTATATGGTTTACTAAAATATACTACAGATTGGATGGAATACAAATGCATAAAGAATTTATGGTTGCACCATTATAAAAAAAAATGATTTAATACACCTTGAATATCAGTGATACACCTAACACTAGAAGATGAGTAGTTGATCAAAAGTTAGTCGATTGACAAAGTCCTCCAACATTTTAATTAATGAAGTCATCGGAGCGTACTAGTGAAGATATTCATTAATTAAAAGCAGTGATCTTCGAAATGCCAACAAAATGCTAAAAACAGCATGCCAACATACAGCCAGGGCACCATGACACCAGTAATGTTTTGATGAACAGCCTGAAGCATGGAGCCTTTCAGCTTTGGCAAATTATTAAGATTCCACGGGCTGGCACAGTATTCATCCCATAACTCAGGATCAACTGATTCTGGCCTTTCATCATTTAATCGAGGAAAACCACTTCCATACACAGAAGTATTCTAGTCACTTCCATACATAACTTCAACTTCACCTGTCAACCCCTCTACAATCTCCCAAAATTTGTTCTCAATCTGAGCACATGAAGCAAACTCTGAACCGAACCACTTCTTATTGGTTCGATCAGCTACACGCCTGAATGCATCTATCATAAACTTCTTGCCAAGCACAAAACCGAAACTATCCTTGTCAGAATTCAAGCACTCAAAACAATACCAATTTCCTGGAGGGATTTGCTTCAGCGGCGGTGACAAACAATGGATGTGCCATCCTTTATTACACCTATCACACAAAAGCATTACTTCACCATGCAAACCACTGCTGCACTGCTCGCATATCTGATCAAGGTCCTCCTCCTTCACTACCTTTTCACAAACTTTAGTATTGTCACCGTTAGCATTCGCCTCCTTTTTGAGAAAGAAAACTCAACCTGATCTATAACTTTCATATCATTTTGCAATCTCCTCCTTAGAACTCTTTCTCACGTCTTTATTCAACATATTATAATACTTCTCATAATCATACAAATGTTCTCGGTACAATTGACACAACACATGCTTTCCACACTCAGAGACCTTCTCACTGGACTTCACAAACCTGGACACCTCCCCCCCCCCCCCCCCCACTTCTTGTCATCCACAACCTTATCTTACCCTCCGAACCTCTTAACCGCATTGAACAATTTACACAAATCCAAATCCTCCCCTTCGAAAACCACCCTCTTCTTCCTCAACTTCCTGCCGCACTGCTCCTCGAGAAACCTAGTGTACTCCAACTCAAACGTATCGGAATCACATTAAGCAGGCCGCACCTGCAGTCGATGAATGGCTTGAGTTTTTGTCGGGAAACTAAACCTATCCTAATTTATTGCAAAAGGTGGAGACCAGCCCTGTGGAGGTACAATCCTACGAATCCCATACCTCTCGGCCTCAGTTCTGATCTGATAAATATACTCTAACGGATCCTTGAATTCCTCCTGACTCGAGTAATAAACCGGCGCAGGCGGGACATTCAATGAACTAGAAGATGCCTCTGGCGATGAGCTCGAGTTCTGCACTAGAACTCCTTTCTCCACTGCCCTCCTCTTCCCCTTCCCCATTTCCCTCCGCCAGCCTCATACACCAAACAACCTCCCAAAACTACACTACTCACTACACTAGGCATAGGAACTTGTTCAACCTAAAATGTACACGTTCAAATTCAACCGAAACTCAGCCTTCAAAGCTACTGATTCAGAGGACAACCTGCAAAAGAAGCGAACGAAACAACAAAATACATACAAGAAAAAAGGGCGGAAAATTCTAGGGTTCCGAATCATACCTTTCGAAGATGGAAAATGGAAGTTTTCAAATACAATATAATAACCAAACCTTTCATTTTAAACAAAATAATAATCAAACCTTTCGGAAAAACAAAATAATAGTCAAATCATTAATTTTTCATCCAATTGGCCGTTAATTGATTCTGACGTGGAAGAATATTAATTGAGTTGGACGATTTTTGCTTATGTGGCAACAACTCAAATGTTTGACTTAGCCATGTGGATATTATTATTCTTTTTATAATTTAATGTTATATATTAAAATTAGAAAAATAAAAAGCATTTTATCTCTCTCCATTCGACCCCATCTCTCTCTCTCTTCGAAGCCCTCTCCGGCATAGTTAGTAAAATACGGTACGGGAAAGTTACGGATATAATACGTACGGGTATTTTACTTCATCTCTAAGCTAATGTTACGTTTAATAGTACGTTAATAGTCATAAATATATAAAATAAATTATTTTTTAAAATAAATAAATATATAAATAATAGTAAAGTTAACAATTTAATTCATTAAATACGGATATAAAACGTGTTATACGGATTTTATACGTGTTTAGTACGGGAGCCACCAAATGAACAGACAAAAATGAAACGGCTTGACAAAAATACTGATACGGAAGTTTTAAACGGATAAAGTACGTACGGGTACATATACGTGTATTAAACGGAGTATTTACTAACTAAGCTCTCCGGCGACACCCAATTACCCATCCCCCAGCACAGCTCTATTTCAGGAGCTCATCGACGAGCCCCATGATATGACAACACTGAGGATGATTTTGTAGGATGGTGGTGAGGCCGAGTAAGAGGTTTCCGAGCGCTCTCTTCCCGCCGATTCTGTCGCAATAGAACCCTCTCGTCGTCGATTTCCGCCTCTGAACATCAGGTTGAACAACGACCTCGTCTCGTCTTTCTCGAACCAGATCCCTGCCTCCTGGAGCGCCGCCGCACAGTGGATGAACTCGATGACCTGCCACACAAGCTCAAAATCCAACCAAAACCTCTAACTTTCACTCTTCTTCTCATGGTGTCTAAGAGCCCTAATTGAATGTCTCCGCCTCTCCAAATCCAAGACCCAATTATCGATTCCTGTCTATTTCGTCGCTAATTCCTTTAACGCTCCATTAAAATCCTACGAAATCGTGTAGGAGATAGAGTCACTGCGAGATCTGATGTTACGCCGCCGATCAAGCTCGGGTTCCTCGGGTGCAGAGAGGCAATAGGGTCAGGGAAGTAAATCCTTCAGCTTCAGCCCACCCTTTTCCTCTCCGCACACACGGATTCAAGCCGCCAGCAATCAATCGTTGGGCACAAAAGAGGAGAAGAAGAGGAGCTCTGAGGATTGCAGTGTTGATTTTAATTGAAAGGGGAGGAGGAGATGAACTCCCAACGCAAGACTTGAGAATGGAATGGGGAAATTTCTATTGAATTTCAATTGAAGGATGGCTTGTGGAGAAGTATGGGTCGGGTTTGTGGCGGCAGACTTGAGGTCAAGGGAGGAGAACGACGGGAGCGCCACCGAGATTAAGGTCAAGTCCAATGCAAAACCCCAAATTTGGGGCCTTAACCCGGGAATGGATCAGGTCAGTAACCTTATGGTGAGTAACCATGAGTAACTCGTCCACATCAGCATGACATCAGCATCCTCTCTCTCATGAAAAGCCTTTAATTTTTTCCTTTTTAATCTTTGACGGACGATTTCTCGCTCATTTTAAGTCGAAATTTAATTTTTTTTGCACAGTTAAATCAGATTAATTGTGCTCTTCAAAATGATATCCACTTTAATATATTTTTCGAACAAAAAAAATTGAGCCATTTTTTACCAGCCTATACCATATGGTATTGACTGGTATTGAAATAAAAGCATACCTATGTTTTGAAAAACGTACCATGGTGGTATGAACAAACCAATACTGTAGGATGGTTGAATACATGATAGTAGAAGTATATTAATTGTAATTTACGACTTTTAACATTGTATACCACACAATACCACCCCGTACCAGGGTGGTAATGTATGGTATTGTGTGGTATTTTTTGGTCCTGTAATTTGTTCACCCAGAAATTTGTAGATCCAATAGATCATGATGAACTCGTCCCTTCTGTGCAAACGTTTTCAAAAACGAATTAAAAACGAAGAAGATATCATACAATACCACCCCGTACCAGGGTGGTATTGTATGGTATTGTGTGGTATTTTTTGGTCCTGTAATTTGTTCACCCAGAAATTTGTAGATCTAGTAGATCATGATGAACTCATCCCTGCTGTGCAAACGTTTTCAAAAACGAATTAAAAACGAAGAAGATACCATATGGTATGCAGTTGGTACCGAGAGACCAGATTTTTTTTCCTAAAAAAATATTGAAAATTGATCTCATTTTGTAGAGCACGGTGAACTCGTTCCATCTATGCAAAAAAAATTAAAATCCGAGTTAAAATGAAAAAGATATGAGTCAATTAAGAAAGCTAGTAAAAATAAAAATAGTCTTTAATTCTCCATCCTTAGATCTGGACTTTCTAAATGAAGGGTACAGATTTGATTATTGATGGGTGCATAACCCATGGTTATGCACCCTATCTTGAGCCCTTGAACCCCAATTTTGGGGATTGAACCCCATTTTCCCTTCTTCTCCAATGCAACAAACTCCATATTTGGGGTTCTTAATATTTCCAGTTTTTCCATTTATTTAAAATGTACTTATCAAAACTTTAACATAATTTGTTCATGTTAATTTTTGTATAGTTCGTCATCATTTTTAAATACAAATTTTTCGATAGAATTTTGTTAAATTTCGAGACCGAATTTTTTTAGCAAAAATTATGGACCTAATTTGGGTTTACACACAACACTTGAAAATGATAAAGCTTAACGAGTTGACATAATAATTCAAATGGCACAATTCATAGGTTACACACAACACTTGCTAATCATAAAGTTTAAATATTACACACAACACTTGAAAATGATAAAGTTTAAAAATAACACACAACACTTGAAATGATAAAGTTTAAAAATAACAGAGTTGGGATCATCTTGATCATACCCTAGGAGCATGTTTTGATGATTGATAGACCGTCATTTACACATGTTTTTACCCCCGTTCTTACCCCGTTTGAGGTATTGATTCTCGTGTTTTAGGCCGATTTCACGCTAGGTTGTGTTTGTTTGTGATATTTCAGGTCCTAGTACGTGAATGAAGGCTTAGGAGTGAGTCTGGGGTCGATTGGACGAAGATCGGACGAATGGCGAGATTTCAAGGAAGCTGCACGGGCAGACCATGGCATCGCACGGCCGTGCGAAGGACAATCCAGGCCGTGCGGAATTCTGCGAGAGCATGCACGGGCAGGCCAGAATTCTCACACGGCCGTGCCAAAGTGCAACCCTGGCCGTGTGGGTTTTGCCGAGGCCGAGCACGGGCTGGATGGAAACCCTACACGGCCGTGCACCCTGGCCGTGTGAGAAGCCTAAGATCGAACTAAACCATACGCCGCGTTTTGAGCCGCACGGCCAAAGTGGTGCTCTGCACGACCGTGCGGCCTGGCCGTGCGAGTCGGGAAATCCTGGTTTTAGAGCCTATTCCGAGACAAAAGTGGGAGAATCGTGTTTTCAGAGCAAAAACAGAGCCCTAGAGAGAGAAAGTACGAAGAACACATCCTAGAAGCTGTCTTAGAGCTGGATTTCAACGAATCGAGTTTGGAGATCGTCATAGGAGTGGAAATCATCGTCCCGGAGCAGATTTTCCTCATCGTTATGAGTATGACTAATCCGATTACTGTTTTCTCTTCTCTCTCTATGGAGTAGAACCCTTCTCTCACTTGGGTATGAAGAACCCTTGTTCCTTGTGTTAGGGATTTGATTGTAATGACTTGGGATGATGTTACTGTTTGATTTTAATCGAATGACGCATGTTTATTGAATTGATTGGAGTCTGATCAGCTTTTCTCAATTTCTGCTGCAACCTTAGATAGATAGAATCTGATTAGGTTGTTAGAGCCTCTTCATTCGATAGTAGGAGATTGGCTATACGAGAGTTAGCCAGTTTACTGCTTTGTACTGGAATTCAATTCCAGTAGTGGAGTTCTGTGTTCATAGCCTAAGCTTTCTATCCCGGTGAAGACTAGTCGTCTGCAGGGTAGTTAGACTGAGAGAGCTTGGTCAACTTAAGAGATTCCAAACTACTGTCGGATCTTCCGCAGTCTAATCAACAGTAAATCAACCCAGTGAATTACAATTGAACCTAACTAAGGGGCTAGGGGGACTCAATCCCGAGTGACTCTTTCCTGACTTTGAAAACCGAACAATTTCCTTGCTTTCTTGTTGCTTTTACTTTTCACAACAATCACTCGAACTAGTTTGCTAGATAATAGAGAATCACGGAGTAAGCAGTAGATCTAGACCCCGGGTTGATAATTAAACTTGCCTGTTACTGCATTCCCGGACTGCGATTACACTTGGTCGCAGTTTGGTGTTGTGTTTTTGCGTGTCAAGTTTTTGGCGCCGTTGCCGGGGAACCCTCTAGATTATTGGGGAAACGTGAGAATTTGTTACTCTAGCTTTTATTTTCTGCATTTTATCTCTTCCACCTGTGTGCCTTCACGGGTTGCTTCTGTTGATTGTGTGCAGGTAGTGTATGACCCGTAGCCAGTCGGGAGAACTACTACCATTAGACCAGGAGCTTGAACGAACCTGCAGGAACTCCAAGCGGGTTCTTAAGGCGCGACTGGCTGCGGAGAAGGCTGCGGAGAAGGCGATTATCGGAGAAGAAGAAGAAGG